GGAGAATCCAAGACAACAAGGTGCAGGGCTGGATGAACACAGCAGGGTCAGAAAGGGTCTAGGCCCGAAACGTCAGCCTTTCTGCTCCTATGATGCTGCTTGGCCTGCTGTGTTCATCCAGCTCTGCACGTTGTTGTCTCTGTGTAAGGGGAGATTTGATAGTGGTTTTTAAAATTATTAAAAATTTGACAGTAAATAAAGACTCTATTCTGTGCTTCATAAGTTAGTGGTTGTGGGAGTGTGGTTTACTGTCTTATGCCGTTGAATGGTCCATTTAGAGAGGGTGGTGTATATTTTAAGAGAAAATTTGGATAAATGTTTGAGGCAGAAGATAACAGTGAAACGGGCAGTAGGATTAATTTTGGAGTGGGCTACGTAGAGCTGGCACAAAGACAATGTGCCAAATGCCCATGTCTCTTCCATAACGTCGTACAGTTGCAAGGATCTTGCAGGCCCAGTTTTGGGTCCATAAAAGGGCCCCCTTTCCTGGCAGCGTTCCTTGTGCAATTTGATTTGTACTGTGAGTACCCTGGATGATGGTCATAAGTAGCACCAAGCCCTATTTGTGTACAAAACCTTCAACCTTTCAACTACTTGATAACCGCGGGTGTTTTGGGTGGTGATGCTTTGCATGTTTGAGGTATTCTGTTAAAAAAGTGCACATCCGTCCTGACAGGCCTAGCATCAAATCTAGCACTCCAGAATTGTTTGCTTGAGTGGATATGAGAAAGGCCAGACATTTTCCCATGGTAATACGAACACTGCTCCTGGTTGAGAAAGTTAATTGGATGTTAATTAGATTGTCACGGTTAAAGACATATAGTTGAAGGGCATTGATTAATATCTTGACCACGCATAAGCAAAGGCCTTATCCTTGTAAGCGACTGTCAATAAGTTAATTTCCTTTAATTATTTTCAATGGGTACGAAGAAACGCTTTAAAGGTACTGCACATCAATTTTAGGTTGTGTTTCAGCCCATGATCCTGATCTTTGGGCACTCGGTGTTGAAGAGTACTGGAGGTAGGGGGGCGGAGGGAGGAGTAAATATCAAGTCAGAGGACCTGTTCATGAGTCTGCCTCTGGGCCTGGCCATGGTGGCCATTGACCGGTTGAATTAGCAGGCTGTGAAGGGCATCATTAGACCCGACTGCCTGCCTCTCTTCTGTGTTTAGTCCCAAAGGGGGAGCACACGGTGGCCACTGACAAGCTTGAGGCTTTCCGTGACTGGTGGGCACAGCAGATGCCGGGGTGCATCGTCAGCCTTGGGATTGACACTTAGGTTAGTAAGTTTTGCGTTTGAAGCTAGGATTTGGGGCTGTCAACTAGTTAATTTGTTGACTCATTTCACTCAAGTATAAAGACCGACCCCTGGAACACAGGGTCTCGGGTAGGAGATGGGCAGACGTGTGATGCTGCCTTCTGTAAATAAATCAACCATTGTGAAAAGATCTTGAGTCTAGCTTCATATTGCAACATCTGGCTTGAGATCTAATGAATAGATGATAAGAGTTTGGATGAATGCACATGTGGAGGCGGTGGAGTACTGATAATGTTATTGGATCAGTAATCCAAAGCCCCAGGCTAATGTTCTGGGAATGTGGGATTTGAATCCCATCATGGAACATTGTGAAGTTTAAATTCTATTTTAAAAAATGTGGAATTTTTTTAAAAAAAAATCAAGCTCAGTGGAAACCGTGAAACAGACTGAAAAGAACCCATCACTTCCCATTGGTACCATTTGGATTTCAGAAAAACTCGGAATATCAGTGACCGCAGTGAGAATATCAAATATCTCTATACCATTCTCCTGTCACACCACAAGTACTTTATCAAGTAGGTAGAGCCATGTGAAATGAGTACACATCCAAGCAAAAGAAGTCAGGAGAGCTCAACGGATGTATAATTATACTTGATAAAAATTTGAAACTGTTTCCAACCAGGAGTTTGTTGATTTCTAGAAGCACTGTATTGTTCACAATGTTCATTTTTACCAATGTATAACTATCCCATTTATTTGCCCAAGTGAATAGACTTCTAATTCAAGTCAGCAATGCTGAATATCATGACACACATCCTTGCTTCAAGGAGAAGTATAGTTCAAACAAGCACTTGTGTTGCTTGTGGCTTTAGAGAGAGAAAGCTAGTTTCATTGTAGAAAGCAATGTCTGACACTGGAAACCTGTCTTCCAGTTCATTGTGCCTGGGAAAGGTACAACCACAGTGTTAGCGGGGGAGCTTCAATATTTTAACTAAGCAACAATCAAGGAAGAGTATTACAATTACAAGTCAGGATGGTGTATGGCTTCAAGGGGAATTTGCAGGTGGCTGTGATCTCGCATGTTTCCAGCCCAGGTTCTTCTCGACAACAGAGGTTGCAGCCTTGAAAGGTGATAAGCTCTGTCCAATATCTCAGCATTCTTGTACACTAACAGGGTGCGATTCCTTGAATTATTTCTGTTTGCTAAGCCCGTGTTTTTATAGGCTGTTTTGGGGTTATAATAGATTAAGGACAACTTTTGGAGTTGGAACAGAGCTGAAACACTTGATATGATTGGTTCTGTACTGTAGCAGACGGGACTGTGTTATGATGAAAGAGAAAATTATTCTGAAATTTGTTTTTTTTTAAACTCCTTTTTCAGGATCAAGAAAGTGCATCAGCCATGTTGACTTTAGCAAAAAAACTGAAGCGTGAAGAGGGCATGAAGGGGAGAAGCAACACAAATCCAGGGACGGACTCATCCCGTCGCGTGTCCATTAGAGATAAGCTGCTCATCAAAGGTGCACGACTCCTCTCTGCTGCTCTTTGGCTATGTGAGAGATCATAAACTATGACTAAATCAACAACAGGTCACACATTAGTGAGTGTGAGATAGAATTACTGACAAGATTGTAAATCAGAGGGTTTGTGAGTTGTATTAAATAGATGATGATGTGAACATCCTTGTGACCCTGCTGTTTCAAGTATTTTTCTATGATGCTCGGGTCTTGTGAATGTTCTCACATTCCTGTGGATTCTTTTGGTAGGGTAGTTAACGTGCCAGAGGGGTATAGAATGGCTCCGTGTGGGGGTGTCTGTTGAGTCTCTCAAAGTATTCGTGAGTTTTGTTTTTGCAGTGAGCAGCTAAGAGTCAAAACAGTCTGAGTAGAGACTTTTAGTTTGTGTTGTATGCACTGATCTCAATTAGAAAGGAAACATAGCAACCCAGCCCTCGAACTCTACCCAGTGACTGCCGCTAGCGTGTATGCTGTCATTGATGGCTCTGGTGAATAAATGTCCTGTAAGTACTAACTACATAGGCTAATACCAGAGACATGTACCAGTTACTGATCTCCCACCTTAGTTCGGTACCACTGCCTGATTGGGCTGAGCACCTGGGACAGGCACCAGCTCTTGGTATCATGAACGTTGCTTACAGAGAGAATTCTGCTGTCTTTATCTGTCTAGCTAGATGTGATTCTAGGCCCAGTGAAATGTAGTTGACTTTGAACTGCAATTTGGCTTGCTGGACTATTAGGGATGGAAAAGAAACGCTTGCCTTGCTCACGAAACCCATGTCCCAAGATGGAATAAAATACCACTATTTACATGAGCTACCCACTTGGGACAGCTCCCAGCTGCAGGGCTGCCTACCTAGGATGGCTGTCAGCTCTCAGCTCTAAGAATAAAAACAGATGTTGCGGCTCCAGCTAAGAGACAGGAGGAAATGAACTGGCCTGGGAAAGACTTCCAGTCAAGCTTCTGTTTGTAAATTTGAGAGGTGTGCCATGATCAGTTTCATAACCTTAGTCCTTTGTTCGTTAAGTACAAGAGTCGAACATTTGGCTTTCAAACCAACTCCAGCATACAATGGGATCACGGTTGATCCGATTCTAGTCCCATCTGTACATTCCAGTTTGCCCTTCATAACTCTTGACTCCTTTGTTTATCAAAACTCTAACTCAGCCTTGAATAAATGTTAATAAAAGAGCCTTTACTACTTGCTGGGGAAGAGAATTCCACAAACCACCAACACTCCGAGAGGGGAAAAGACCTTCATCTCTGTCTGAAATATATTCACCACCAGAGCATCCACAATCCTCTTGTGGAAATTTCCACAACATTCAGCCTGTTGGGTTCATAAATTTCTCCACATCCTTGTCCAAAACTGCTGGCCTCTTATCCTGAGATGGTACTCCTGCATTCTGGAATCTACCGTAACCAACCCCTTCAGAAGTTTCAATGTGATCACCTCTCATTCTTCTAAACTCCAAAGAATAAAGGCCCAATTTGCTCACCCTCTCAAAGGAAAATCCTCTTATTCTGTGGATCAATGTTGAAACTAAATGTAAGCCTTCTCAGAAGCTAGTTTGACACAGCACAGTTGCTTTTATAATCTTTCAGTAATTGTCCAGTCTATCTCAGAATACTGTAATTGCGTTGGCTTCAGTTACCACTTGTTCCAAAAATGTCACATTCCAAGTTATCTCTGTGGAGAAGCTCCTTTTTGATCCCCTCTTTCTGTATACAGTTTTACCCTGAGACTCTGGCCTGTGTTTCTGATTTCCCACGTGAAACTAATTTGCCATGGTTAGTTTTGTGTATTAATTTTGCTTGGTGCAAATTCCCTGCAATTAGCAGTTGGAGAGTGCTCAACTGTTGTCGCTTCAGCCTTGGAATCTCTATCTTAAAGTGCAGTAACTTGTATGTTCTCACTAAATCTTAAAGGACAGGTATAATGAGGAATAATACATTGCTGTATGGCTCAAATAATCAAAGCGAGATAGCTTTCCAGATTGTCCTCCTTGGTGCTGATTAGTTCTAGCTCGGCTCTCAGAAGTCTAGCTAATGTTCTGTGTTCAGATCACATTCATTTCTTCAAGTACATTTGAAAATGGTCACCAGCAACAGAAAAGGCCATTGCAATTAGTTGGTTAGATCTGTGTATCAAGAACTTTAGGGGAGCAGTTGATGGATAAGCAGATGGTTGAGAACGCAGCAGTCTTTATCCAAAGTTCCCTCTTAAGCCTTGGCCTTGGCTTAGTGATAGTACTCTCACCGAATTACATGGCTGTGAGTTCAAGCACAATATCTAAGCTGACCGCTCAGTGCAGTACTGGTGGTTTGGCAGTGTCAGAATTACTGTCATCCAGATGAGTTTAGACCAGGGTAAGAAAGGTGACGAGCAATAATCATGTTACTAGAACTGGAAGATCACAACTGTTGGGAAAAATGAAATAGATTGGAGCTGTTACGAAAACTGAAGAATCAGAAGTGACCTGATGATAATTCTGGATGGATTGAACAGATTAGACGTGGAGAAGCTATTTCTGCTTGTTGGAGAATCTGACATAAGGGGCCACATGTAACTTCAATAAGTCCAATCAGGAGATAGAGACATTTCTTTGCTCCAGCTGTTTAGAGTGAGGAAGTTAGTATCTAGGGAGAGTTGAGGAGAATCATTTTGGTGCTTTCAGAAGGGAAATAAATGAGAGAAGAGGGAATTTTAAAAATCTGTCGAGAGACTGAGTTGAGGTCGAGAAAATGGAAAATGACTTGTGCTAGCACTGACTAGTTGGGCAGAATGGCTGTATACATAATTATATATAATTTGAAGAACAGCAGGGAGTTCTCCTAGTGATCTTGCTGACAGTAATTCCATCACAAAAGCAGATCAGGTCATCTGTTGCATTGCTGTTTGTGGGACTTTGCTGTGCATACATTGGCTATCTTGCTTCCAATGTTACAATGATGACAGCACTTGACATTGTCTGTGAGGCCATTTTGATATAAACCTGAGGTAGTGAAACATCCTTTATTGTCTTCATACCTAGCAGTCTGGAGGTATGCCTGTTTTCCCTCCCTGATCTCCCATTACCACATGGTCACAAGATGGAAATGAAACTTCATGATACAAAGCAGAGTTCTTACTTTTTAGTTCCCAGTTACATCACCTAACAAGAATACTGAATCATAAAGATCTCCCATCCTCCTCTAGATTGCTATCCAATGACTCCTGAATTGAATGTAGAAGTTGAGTAAGTATACATCTTTAAAATGCTCTTGTTTCAGACTTGCGTGGTTAGAGCCCTTGCAACCAGCCCCAGCCAGAGAGGTGGGTGGTAGGAGTTTAGAATCAGAAGGCAAAAGCAGTGGGAAACTTGAGGTCTGAGAAAGCAGTTCTCTGATCACTGGAGTTTAGAAATGTTTGTGGTATTAGCACTCTTGGGAGGAAAAACCATCTGTGAGCCAAAATAAAGAAAAACTAAGCTGCTTACGTGTCCATCTGTCGCAACTCTGTTTTGCACAGCTTTATGGATAAGTTATGAGAAAAGGCACCACAGATTGACTTTGTTAGGAGTGCTGAATGGAATATTTTCAGTTATTTTGGTGGCCTCGCAAAAGTTAATTTCCAGGGATGTAGGGTAATAGGAATTTGTAACTCCAGACTCTCTGTGGAGCTATCCTGAATTGTGTTCTGTTATACCCACATGTGCCCTCAGTGTTCCAGAACACAGCTTGGATTCCAATCCACATAACGAAAGATGCAATTGAGATGAAAATTTGCTCAGGATTTCGCAGCTACACATGCCTCAAAGTAATTTCTAGCTTGTGTGTTATACGCATATTGGATGCCCTTTAGGCCCAGTGCATAAAGAATGAAGAACAGGTGGGATTTTAAGCTAAAGTGAATTAAGCAAGTTGTAGCTCCAAGTAAGGTTGCAGCTTATAAAACACACTTAGATCTCCTTAGGCTGATTTTAATACTCTTAATAACCTTTCAAGCCAGAGTCTGTTTTGGCCATATCTTGACAGAATCCTTTGCCTTGAAAAGAAGGAAAATAGTGACTAAACGAAGAAACATTATAGTCAAGGCCACAGGCATATATTTTCACTGTTATGCTTGGAGTTCTGAGTAGCATGTTGTTCCTTGCTTGAGGAATATTACAGGACAGGCTGACCTTTTTCTTCAAAAGGAGAGCATTATGAGAGACTAGGGAATTGAATGGGATCACAGAGTCCGTATTCTTAGAAGTGCACAATTTTGGTCCATTGAGTCAATAAGTCTTTTTGAAGAGTGATCCAGTTAATATCCGATTCTCAAGATCTTTCCCCATATCCTTGCAATTATTTTCTCTAGCATACTTTTATTCCTGGGTGTTGATGACAACTAGCATTTATTGCCAAGAAAAGATGGCTGTCTTCTTGAATCTCAGAAATCCGTCTGGTGAAGATGTATATCTGAGTTAGGTAGGGAGTTGCAGGATTTTATTCAGCAACTCTGATGGAGCAGAAATAATTTTTAAAGTCAGAATAGTAAGTGATTCGGAGGAGACCTTGCAAGTGATGGTGATCTCGTGTCTGCAGACCTTGTCCTGCTACGCGGTGGTGGTTGCAATTTGAAAAGTGCAGTTGCAGGAGACTTTGAATTGCTGCAATGCATCTTGATGGTGCACATGCTGCTGCCGCTGTGCATCTGTAGTGAGAGGAGGGAAAGTTTAAACTGGTTGGATGGAGAGCCAGTCAAGCGGGCTGTTTTGTTCTTGATGATATTGAGTTTAAGTATTTGAGATGTACTCGCCCAGGCAAGTTGAGGATATTGAATCACACTCCTGACTTGTGCTTTGCAGATCGTGGACAAGCACTAATCGCTAGAGGATGCTTAGCCTCTGTCTGTGCTTCTGGTTGGTCCAGATCAGTTTCTGGTGTCAGCAGCGTTGAGTGTCAGCAGACACTGACTTCAAATAATGTTCAGCTGTTCTTTATTCTTCTTGCCAAGGCACTTGACCTAATGTTTTCC